TACATGGTTATGTGGTTTGGAACAGGATACAGCTACATTTATTGCTAACTAGCTTTGTGCATTTTAAGCTCATAGTCTGACATGGTGGTTTCTGTCAGAGGATGTGGTTGTCTCACTTACTGTCCTAGGCCTCTAGTACGCAAGCTGGCCACTGGCCTAGTCTTTGCTATAGAAGCCTGAACCATAAAAATCCCAACAGCAGAGTGGGTGGTAATAATATTAATAATACTAAGAGTAATAGAGTTGGAAGGGACCTTGGAGGTCATTTAGTCCATCCACGTGCTCAGGCAGGAGACCCTATACCATTTCAGACAAACGGCTGTCAGTCTCTTCTTTAAAACCTCCGGTGTTGGACCATTCACGGCTTCTGGAGGCAGGTAGTTCCACTGGTTAACAGTTCTCCCTGTCAGGAGATTCCTCCTTCCTTCCCCGGCCAGTCTCCCTCCGTCGCTGCTCCTCCCGCCTTCAGGGGGGGCTTCGGGGAAGAGCTGGGCCCCCTCCTCTTCGGGGCGCCCCCCCCAGATATGGGAAGGCTGCTCTCACCTCTCCCCCCGCCCTTCTCCTCACCTGCTCCGACCCCCCCACCCGGGAGACGGGCTGCCTGGGGGCCGCGGGGGGAGCCTGGCCGGAGCCCCCCAGGAGGAAGAAGGCAGGAAGCGCCTCCCCAGCTCCCCCCCCGCACTGCCTAGGGAGAGACCCCCAGTATGGGGAGGGAGGAGGGAGGGGGGCGGAGACGCAACTCCGGGAGACCCTCAGCTCCGCTTCCTGGATTCAGGGGGGGCGAGGGGGGGAATACACTTCAAGGGGAGCCCCTCGCCCCACCCCCTTGCCGAAGAGAAGCTCCGCTACTGCGCAGACGCCATACGGCTGATGGATGGAAGGAAGCAGGACGCCGATTGGTCGCTCTGAGGAAGGCAGCGATTGGCAGGAGGACTCCTCGAGGCGGTCCATTCAAAGGAAAGAGGAAGAGCAACCAGGATCGGACCTCGCAACGAAGTCCCGCCTCCACTTCCGGAAACGAATAAAACTTAGGCGCCTAATTGATTCGGCCGCGGGCTGGCTCGCAATCCAGGTGGGGCGCAGGGGATGCTGGGAGTCGCAGTCCCAGAGGCTCTCTGGCGGAGGGAGGGGGGAGCCCGAGGCCTGCTCTGGCGTGACGGGCGCTGGGAGGGAGGCCTGCCCGGAAAGTCTCACTGAGAGGCGCCATATGATGATGGATCGGGGGAAGCGGACGTAGATTGGGCGCTCTGGGCAGGGCAGCGATTGGGAGGAGGACTCCTCGGGGCGGTCCATTCAAAGGAAACAGGAAAAGCAGCCAGGAACAGACCTCGCAGAGAAGTCCCGCCTCCACTTCCGGGAACGAATAGAACTGAAGCGCCCTAATTGATTCATCCACGGGCGGGCTCGGACCCAGGTAGGGCGCAAGGGATGCTGGGAGTCGCAGTCCGAGAGGCTCTCTGGCGGAGGAGGGAGGGAGGGGGGAGGCCTGGTCTGGCGGGACGGGCGCTGGGAGGGAGGCCTGCCCGGAAAGTCTCATTGAGAGGCGGAGGCTTCGGCCTTCCTCCGCGGGCGGGCCTGGGACTCCCCTCCGGGGAAGGGACGAAGCCCTGACCCGCCTTTCCTCTTCCCCCTTCGCCCCTGCAGGAGGACGGCGAGCCCGGCGGAGGAAGGAAGGAAGGAAGGAAGGAAGGAAGGAAGCGCCGCCCGAGAGGAGAGGAGGCCCCGCGGAGCAGCCCATGAGCCGAAGGGGACTCCGGGAAAGGAGGCCGCCTGGAGGGAGAAGCGGGGAGCAGGAAACGGGCGGAGACCCCGAGACGGGCCTGGAGGGCGGAGGGTCCTTCGGGACAGGCGGAAGACTCAGGAATCCCCAGAGAATCCAGGAGGGAGGAGAGAAATATGAATGCGAAGAATGTGGAAAATCCTTCAAAAGAAATGCAGATCTTAAAATCCATCAAAGGATCCACACAGGAGAAAAACCGCATAAATGCCTGGAGTGTGGAAGGAGTTTCAGTCACAGGAGCAACCTTTATAAACATCAAAGGATCCACTCAGGAGAGAAACCATTTAAATGCCTAGAGTGTGGAAAGAGCTTCAATCGGAGGGGACACCTTTATAAACATCAAAGAATCCACACAGCAGAAAAACTGCATAAATGCCTGGAATGTGGAAAGAGCTTCAATCGGAAAGGACACCTTTATACACATCAAAGAATTCACACAGCAGAAAAACTGCATAAATGCCTGGAATGTGGAAAGAGCTTCAATCAGAGCAGCACCCTTTATAAACATCAAAGGATCCACTTAGGAGAGAAACCTTTTAAATGCATGGAGTGTGAAAAGAGCTTCAGTCAGAGGGGACACCTTTATACACATCAAAGGATCCAT